GGGCGGAAAGAAATGAGGATCATTAGTATGAAGGGTTGCGCGTTCGTTACTAGCAGGAACACGGCGAGGCTCCTCGTTACATTATTCTCTACGAGTTGAGGATTGTTACGTGAACCGAGCTAGTTGGTTCCATTGAAAGCGCGGAGAATACACCTTTCATGGCTTAAGCACTAGCGATCCCGACTGCCACGTACCCAACACTAAAACCCAACGATCATCACCTCCTCCACTCAACTACTACGTGGATTCACCTGGATCTTGCAGCCCGTTATAGTGATCTAGCGCGCAACGCAATCCCACAAAGTCATTAGGACTTTCCGAATCAATGATCGCCACCTCTGACACCTCATCTAGCCACTACTCCACTAGAGTTGGCCGATGTATTGCGAGAGAGTAAAAACGTTGTGCTTGCGAGCTTTTGCGAAGAAGAGGAAAAGATAATACAGAGAGAGGATGGAAGGAGGAGATTAGAAAGGGGAAACACATGGAAGGGCTATGTCGATCCGCGTGAAGTAGTTCACGACCAATCGGATCGTAGTGCGAGGAGTTCAAAGCCTCCTTACACGCTGTTGTTCGACGTCAATGATTACTTGGGGGATCGGCGGGGCCTTCCTGCCTATAGACAAAGGCGGCAAAGGAAGGAGCAAGACCAAGATTCAACGGAACCAAAAAAAAAGAGAGAGCGCAAAGAGAGGAGAAGAAGACAGTTACAGCATGGCGCTAATGGTGCGAAGAAGGATGTTGGGAAAGCGAGGAATGATTGCTTGAGGGAGCATGGTGCAGAAGGATGCATGCGGCACAGAACTCAAAAGGGCACCAAAACAGTTACACGAAATGCCAGTGAAGCAGCGCCTAATTCCTAAAGTCCAATTGAAATCGAAAAGTTCAAATGAAAATTCCACGTGCGAATCTGAAATGCGTGAATACCTACTACGCTTATTTCTATTCTATCATCCATTAACAAAAAAATCACGGGGCTTGCAAGGGCATCTTCAAAAATGTTCATGCTCAAAGAAAGGATTCGTTGCTAAATATCCCAGTGAGCACCCGCGATTTCCGGATTCAAGAAAATCTGAGTAAAAAGAATTCTGAGCGTGCTCGCTAAGGGACGTGTAAATCCTCAGCAGAATACATGGAAAATTCCGAAAACTGCAGAAACGAAGAGTCAAGATTGGCTGACGTGTCCCACGCATCCGGGTCAATCAAGAACGAGCCCTTGGCAACAGTGAGAGGCCAAAAACACAACCGAGACATGCTGAGCCGGACATCACTGTCCACTGAAAATGCAATCTGGACAGGGTAGAGGAACTGGAAGTGGATTAGATGGACCCGGGTTATTCGGAGAGCACTGAAAAGGAAGGTGCTCAGGAACTTGCTCATGCACAGAAGTTGGTTCGTCACAGGGGCGTGAGTCCTGGTAGAGATATCTGGGGATGCTTTGAGGCATCCATCGTAGAGGACAGGTGGGGGTTGCTGACAGATGGATGCTGGCCGGAGTGGAGTGAGTCGTGTTGCTCTTTAACCTAGCAATATGCGGTGTGGGCCTGGATGAGCCTGAGAATAGGGCAGTTATTGGTGGGCTGCAGTTTGGTTCTGTTCGTGAACCCTTAGGCCTTTTGGGGGGTTCGAAGGATTGCTGTGGATTGCAGGAGGTGGTCTGATATTTTGATAAGGTCTGTAGTTTTCTCATAATTGTTCTTGCAAATTCTGGAGATGGTACAGGATCATACTCTCAGTACAAGCCAGGTAATGGCCTGGGTGCTTCAAATTGTTCTACATATGTTTTCACATGGGATGCTGGGCCCAATTCCGGGCATGTGTTGCTCCCCACGTATAGATTGGAGCACTATTCCCAGAAACAAAACAAAAAAAAAAAGAGTTCGAGTGGGTGAGTTTAGGGGTGAGTGTGGGGGCACACAGTTGAGTTGGCGTCCTCAGTCAGTATAGTAGTATACACTGTGGTTGTGGTCTTTTTCTGGAATATCTCGAAGCCAAGCTGGGCATGGCTCCCAGCTACTAGGACTAGAATATTTGGAAAATTTTGCTGTAGTACTACTAGATGTTCCTTTCATTGTTCTCTCCTTTCTTGTCCATTTGCAGGTTTTTCAGACAGTACTAGCAGAATGGGGCGCTGGACCCTGTTTCCAGCACAAGCCTAAGCTGGGTATTGGGCCCAGAACCCCGGGTTGTTTGTGGAGGGATTCCCAGCCTCCGTGTGTTGGAATTTTAGTGAAATGCTACAGTATTAAAACAAAAAAGAGAAAACTACGGCGCAGTCAGGGTTTGAGTTATTAATTGCACTTGAGGCAAAAGGGCCGGTAATGCTGAATGTATATGACCTGCGTTTCGGGTCCGGTGGGGTCGCCTGGGGGTGTGTTGTATTCGCGGGATTGCCTGAAGTGCAATTACAAACTGTTTTCTTGACTGCGCCCAAGTTACCCCCCCAAAAAAAGGTCACATATTCCTAAAAATACATAGTTGATCCGTTCACCGTGCAATCATCTGTAATCTGTAAAGACAAATCTCCAACGTAAGAAGCGAAAACTGTAAACTGGCAGCTGTTGTTACTCACTTGCACATCGACCGTGATTGTCTTGGTGTACTTACACTCCCACTAGTCTCTTCTTTTGCAAACACTTGTTGGCGTACCTTTTGTCTTGGTGTACTTACACTCCCACTAGTCTCTTCTTTTACAAACACTTGTTGGCGTACTTAGGCTCCCAATAGTCTCTTCTTCTACAAACACTTGTTGGCCGGTCTACCTCCACTGCCCAGAGAGCCACAACCGTCTCTGGTGAGTCTGGTCTATTCGTGGCCATCGTCATGGCCATCTCCTCCAGAATCCAGATGCCTTCCTAGAGCAAGGACCTCCTCCCATTCGTTGTCATTCCGTCTCCTCCAGATGCCTTCTTCCTTGCCGCTTTAGCATTCTTCATCGCAACACGACCTGGACGTCCAGGTCCTCGGCGGAACGGACTTGTAAGCACAAAGCCCATGTGTAGTGGACCTCCTTGTCCGCCCAGACGTGTAGTGAACGTCCTCCGCCGAACGCACCTGTGAGCGCAAAGTCCATGTGTTTCTCTTTTCCTGTTTTTTTAAACACCCCTTTGGAAGGCCACTATCGCTGCGGTGGTGAGAGAACCCCCGTGATTGAAGCCTTGCTGGTTGTATGGGTCCCATCTTTTGCTGGGGAGCAGCTGGAAAGGGGGTCCAGTGTCCCCACAGAGATTGTGCATTGACAGTGCCGTCGTTGGACCCCCCACCCACCCACCCACCCACCCAAGCTCTGAAACCAACTCCCAGTCCCCAGCCATCTCTCAGGGCTCCCCCGTCAGATCGGTGCGCTTCTGGCTATCAACCCGCACCAGGAGCGTTGGATGATGTTTCTCGATTGCTTCCCCACTCGGATGTGCCGCTGACGGATGAACACACGGGCTTTATGCCGTACCAGTTCATCCTTGGGCAAGGCCCGTCTTGAGGACGAGTGCCTGCAATATCCTCTCCAAGACATTCGCCACAGTCAACGCAAGGACGTAATGAAGCTTGACATGTTCTGCGACTCGCCCGGCGTCTCCCTCGGAGATTCTTCTTCGAGTGTAAGGGTCAGCTCCTACAACCCTGGATTATTCATTTTTCACCCTCGATTAACAAGATCAACGGTCAGAAATGAACAATAGGGGCTAGAGGGATCTGGCCCTAACTCTTCTCGTCGACAGAAAACAACGTACGGGCATTGTTTCGGATACGGCCAAGTGACCACCTGACTTATCTCAGTTGGTACACACCCGACAAAGTGTTGAAACGCAGACGCGAGTTCGACTTCAAACGCGATCACATGGCGAAAACTAAGTCTGACTGAATCTACGTGAGACCTGTCAGTGAAGCAGCCGAGAGTCAACGACGTACGGGCAGTGCAGTGTTTGCAAATACGGCTAAGTGACCAACTGAGTCAAAACTGACTTACCTCAGGTGGAACACCCCGCGAGGTCCGAGCTGATGCTACGGATGGATGCTGATAGGATCAGACACACTATTGAAATTTGAATCGCAGAAATAACTCTGAATGAATTTACCTGAGGCCGGTCTGGAAAGGAAGATACGGCTAAGTTGCTTACGGGACGCGCCACAGCTCTCGCTTGCACCGGAGCCCATACTCTCGACCGAGCTTAGCTTCATCGAGCAGTTCCTTCTCATAGGAACGACCAGTAGTAGTACTAAAGCCAACCTTCTCATAGGCACTACCGGTAGTAGTACTAAAAGAAAACCCTCTCATAGGAACTACCGGTAGTAGGTAGTACTGAAAGCAAAAGTTCCTTTAGTTCCTGTAGTAGCTGATCGGCACCATGGCTGCTACCTTACTCATCGCCCTGCGCTGCTCTCGACGACAGGAAAGGCTCGATGGTGCCACGTCGACCTGCCCAAAAAACCAAAAACGTTTTTTGGGCAGGTCGACGTGGGAGTCGACAGGCCAGCGTACTTCTCATAAGAACTCCCACGTCGACCTGCCCAAGAAACGTGTTTTTTTTTTTTTTCCCCTTTTTTTCCTTCTTTTCTGGTATAAAAGTGCGCTGCACTCTTCTCTCACATCTTTCATCATCTTTCAAATTCTTTCAATTCACCTTCACTACCTACCTACCTACCTACCTACCACTACTCCTAAGGCTCTTTGCGTTAACCGGACCACCCCCCACCGGCGGCCCCACCCCACCCCACCCCACCCCACCCCACCCCACCCCACCCTTGACCACCATGGTTGGGGCGGGGGGCAACACGCATCCCCTCTGATGGCTGGAGGGAAACAACAAAGCTATGTTCCCAAAAAGGGCGTTTGAATTTTGAAGGTTGTGGTGGCTGCTTCCCCCCGCAATTTTTTGTAGCCGGCCTCGGAACTTGGGCCGGTATCCCGAGGCGCAATGCAGAAGCTGGCGGGTATCCCGAGGCGCAATGCAGAAGCTTGCGGGTATCCCGAGGAGCAGTACAGAACCTGGCGTCGGTTGGGGTGAAGCGCCGGAGGGAAAACTGGGCAGACCCGTTTGTGAGGGCCCACACGAAGGCAACCGGACCAGTGAGTGAACAGTCCCTTTCCGTTACAGAAGACTGCCCGCTCCCGCACCTTCAGCAACTTCCCGTTCGAAGCCACCGGCCGTCTTGAGAGGAAGCGCCTCGCATTGACACGGAGGTAAGTGGCTTCCTTGGTTTCTTGGATGCTTACGTTCTCTCTCTCTCTCTCTCTCTCTCTCTCTCTCTCTCTCTCCCACCCACACACACACACACACACAGACACACAGAGGTAAGTTTCCAAGGGGGACGCGTTCTTCTTTTATTGCTCTCTCTCTCTCTCTCACACACACACACACACACACACACACACATACACACACACACATACACACACACACATACACACACACACACACAGAGGTAAGTTTCTAAGGGGCACGCGTTCTTCTTTTATTGCGAGTACATGCACGATGGCGGAAATTGTGGTCAGGCTCACTCGTATTCATGCAGACAGAAAAAAACAAAGAATCTCTCTCTCTCTCTCTCCCCGCGCGC